AAGGGGGGAACGAGTGGGGGTACCATAGTATCCGGCCCTCAAATATATACAGGGGTCGGGGGATGGGGAATCTTTAATTGTCTAAGACGCCAGGTTATGTCGCTCTTGGTGCCAACGTGTGACCTTGCATACTTGTATTTTGGTATCTCTAAATGTTAACGAATAAACTTGTTATTAAATATGGGTAACTGCGCGCGCAAGTGTCAAGTGGAAATAATTACATGATAAAAGAAAACTATATGCATGACTTTTACTGATAAAGTCGAAGGTCAAGATAGATAAATGCATGTTTTAACTGCACACATTAATAGCACAACAGATAAGAGAGCAGAGAAGCAACTAAAAAGTGTGTACTTAATGACTATACTAGTATACATAGTATCTTTCATCCATCCTCTAATAATCAATCAAAATCATCATTATATAGCAGGTCATGTGCAGAACGTCGTTCTAATCACGGCTTGCTTGAAAGAAACTCAGTCTCCCGCCAGCTCTCTGTACTTTCATATTTAAGGAATCACTTGTATCATGTGCCATCTTCATGTTGGTCGGCCTCTGCCCCTCCTTCGTGGAGGGGCCATTAGCCAGATCTCACCCATTCTGAGTATTCGTGGCAAAACGCTGTCGAAGCCGATCCACTGGCCTTGCTGCGACTGCTTTCGGCTTTTTGAACCCGAATCTCGTTTTCGGAGTCCTTTACCTGCTGTATTATCATGTCTCTGCGTTCTTCGGCAGAGGCTTTGGGCCACCAATTGACTTTTGCATGCCCTAGGCCGCTTCGGTCAGTTTGTGTGTAACCCAGGACTTCACTCAATTTCAGTACTTTCTGAGCAGATTCTATCATCTCTTCGACTTTCCATTTCGTACCTGTCGTTTGAACAGGCTGGACAGCTGTCACTGTTGGGTCTGACGAATAGTCAGTCTTACCTTGCCGACTTTGAACTCTTCGGTTATTGATTTGAACGGAAGTACCAGCTTAGCCTGCCTTGCAAAAGAGAGCCAGGTCGATCGACCACGGAAACAGACTCATTCAGCCACAAGAAGACATACCCAATCAGCCACAAGAAGACACACCCAATCAGTCACAAGAACACTCACCCAATCAGCCACAAGAACACACACCCAATCAGCCACAAGAAGACACACCCAATCAGTCACAGGAACACACACCCAATCAGTCACAAGAACACATACCCAATCAGTCACAGGAACACATACCCAATCAGCCACAAGAACACATACCCAATCAGCCACAAGAAGACACACCCAATCAGTCACAAGAAGACACACCCAATCAGTCACAAGAACACTCACCCAATCAGCCACAAGAAGACACACCCAATCAGTCACAGGAACACACACCCAATCAGCCACAAGAACACATACCCAATCAGTCACAGGAACACACACCCAATCAGCCACAAGAAGACACACCCAATCAGTCACAAGATCACTCACCCAATCAGCCACAAGAACACACACCCAATCAGCCACAAGAAGACACACCAACTCAGCCACAAGAACACACACCCAATCAGCCACAGGAACACACACCAACTCAGCCACAGGAACACACACCAACTCAGCCAGATGAACACACACCAACTCAGCCAGATGAACACACACCAACTCAGCCAGATAACACACACCAACTCAGCCACAGGAACACACACCAACTCAGCCAGATGAACACACAAGACATAGACATAGCATGTGTATTGTTGTATGAACACAACATGCTTTATTGATAAAATACTTTTACTGTTTAAAGTATGAGTGTTGGAAGGGTCGAGTGTAAGACAGATCTGCGTTTCCAAATTATGTTCCATTGAAAAAAAAGTTCGTTCATTCAACAAAATATGCAATTCGATTAAAAATATAATTAAATGTTAAATTCATGAATTGTCACATTTTTGTTATACGATACCACAGCACAGGTTCCTATACGAATTTTTTTTTTTTTTGGTTCTTTATTAATATATGACGTCACAAGACAGTCTAACATTTTAGAGGGTGGTCAGACTGGGTTTCCCGGCTTTCTGGTGATTTTAACGACCCCAAGCATATAGAACTGGCCCTAACACCAACCACCTACGTCCCACCAGAGAGTGCAGCTTAGGTCCCACGACTGCATGCAGCATATCTATCACCACCTGAAAATTTAGACCTGTGGATTTGCCCTGTTTGGGGTAGGATATTAATAAAGCACTGATTAAAAAAAAAATTAAGAATCGACATCACATCACTCGGGACACTCCCATGTGCTCAGTCATCATCTTCAGCAGCAAGTAGAGATTTCCAGTTCCGATGGTACCAGTAGCCGTCTGATTGTATATCCGTTTCATTCTTTCCCTGAGTGTTGAGCGTCGGCCAGATGCTATATGAACTCCTCGCAGCGCCATTCCGCTTAGACCGCAATGATATGATTCCTATGACGAGGTTCCTAAACAGATGCTGCCAAATGTCTGTTGTTGGCAGCATTCTAAATCAAGAAGACAAC